TGAGTCCCGTTGCAAGACTAGGTTAAAATTAGTGAATATTTAAGGGAAACATATTGGGGAGAAAGGACAGTAACTTTGCTCATTCAATAGATTTATGTAAAAGGGCCTATTACAATTTGGTGGCCCCGTGATACATAATTTAAACATAATGCTATACGTGCTTGCTTTAATACGATATCTCTGATATCCTTGTTTGATTTAATCCGTCCAAATGACAGATAGATGGCAAATAATTCGACTTTTACTTATAACAACAGATCAATGGCGACTGATAATAATATAGGCAATAAAATTACATTTATCATTCAACACTTGGTTTTTCTACCATGTTCATACACTCTTCTTTCGATAAAGTCAATATTACGTATTTGCATGTATCTCAAGCGGAGAATTAGATTTCAGTTGTGTTTGGCGATTTATTAAGTATAACTTAGATGTGGCACAAGGGCAAAAATATGGAGCTCCCATTGAGGATCGAACTACTTAATCGTAATTCCTCTAGCGAGACAAGCTTACTAACCATTACGCCACTGTTCCCTAATGATTTTCTAAGCCTAGTTTAGATGCGGTACAGGGTCAAAATTATGGGGCACCCGATCAGGATCGAACTCACTATTCAGTTGTAAGTGATCTACGCGACACAAGCTTGCTTACCATTACACCACATCTAAGTTCCCTAATGATTTTCTAAGAGTAGCTTCAATGTAGTACAAGGTCGAAAGTGTGTAGCACCCAGTGAGGTTCGAACTCACTACTCAATCGTAATTCATCTTGCAAGACAAGCTTACTAACCATTACACTACATCGGGGTTCCCTGGTGATTTTCTAAGCGCAGCTTAGGTGTGACATAAGGCCAAAAATGTGGAGCACCCAGTGAGTATCGATCTCATTACTCAGTCGTAATTCATCTTGCGAGACAAATTTTGCTAAGCATTACAAAACATCGAATGCTCATTCTTCAACTGTGTATCTTTTGTTTTCACAATAAAAGTGCCTGCACCATTTTGTACACAATACCGTGTACTCAAAGTACACCATTAATACCATGTGATCGAAGTAAAAATAGATTCCGAGTTTAAATGCGTATACCCGACACGGCGAGTGATCAATTATTTTCCGATTTGCAAAGTTCTTATCTCACAGACGAAGCATTGCTAGCCTCTCACTACTCTTATCACTATTTCTGTAGCAAATATTCTTGACGAGTCAAATCCATTAGATCAATCAGTTCATACCTTCACAGATATGTCCCGCCATACCACGTACACAGGGTCGACTCATCCACATTCCCTTCGTATATCGTTAATAAGAAGGAAGTTCCACTGAGACAGTTTGGCTCTCAGAATTGTTACTTTGCAGAACAGAAGGAGGCTTTCTGGATCATTGCAACCTTAATCTCTTCGTGTCAAAGGTCAACCATTATCTAGATATCCTCATAATACATGCATCATACTCCCTACTTTTACACACTTACAAGAACATTATTTAAAACCCACTTGAGCCTTGTATTCGGTGAACAATAGTAGAAAAATATATTGGAATCCGGGCTCTACAAAAGAGGCATGAATCAAAAATCAAAATTTAATATTTAAAAATATTACATTTCTAAATTTAAATGTGACGAAAATTATTATAACGACAGTTATCGTTCATACTTTTACACGTTCTCAAAAGAAAATTTAAAATGCTTTTTAAGCCGATGATATAATCCCATTGGCTGTCATAGTCTTTGAGATTTTAATTATTGTTTTTGGTGTCGATTATATGTGAATAGAATCAGTCTATTAATAACGTATTTAAAACGTTTGATTTCGACAGATTTCAGCAAGAGACGGGTAACTGAGACGAGCCTTCTTTGTGTGAACGGGGCTAGCCTTGTTTTTCTCTTTTAAGTCCCCTTGATGCAACGGGGTGGTTTCCTGTGAACCATCCCCTGGTTAATTTAGAGACTTTTATGTTCTCCTAGTTAATGTGAACAAGTTTTGTTCCCGGCCTGTTTTCCGGCATTCTCTTTTGTTATGGCCCATGTTGAGATTTCCCAACCTCTCCAGTTTGCTTTGTCCTCCATTTACATTTCGACTGGATCAGCCTTTGATTTTTTTCCATTCCGCCATTTATTTTTATCTTTCCCATTCCAATAGTAAGCGTGCTTCTTCATTCTATTGATCAACAGAATTCAACGGCCACTCGTATTATTTTGAGCAATTGGACGGTTCCGACTAAAATTGTTTTGTATTAGTTTTATATTTGGTTTACATATTGAGTTTGTTTTCTGGGTTCATCTCCCCCTCCTCCATCATTTCATGAATCATGAAATTTTGAAATTTTTATGTCATGGTGTGTTTTTGTAGGTCCCCTGTGAATATGTGGTATGGTGGTCTATGAAGGAGTGAAAGGTGATGGATGACTTCTTGTGGTGAATGAGTAAATTGTTATGAATGTATGGGTCGTGAGTCGGATTAACTAGGACTAGGATAGCTGATGAAGACCGTTCTCTCCCCATTTTCCTATTGGCCTAGTGTCACTATCCTGTATTGTTCAGAACAAATGCTATCTTAGTAACGCAGTCATCCTGCCATTTCGAGTTCATTTATCCTGATACTATAATCGTCCCATGTCGTCAACTGTCACACGTCATAAATTACCAGATGCTATAATAAACTATCTTCTAGAGTCTTCGCATTTTAGCCTTATCTAGAGCGAGTCGTTGGCTATATTCAGTAGTGAAGGACCTAAAACTTGCCTTAAGCCTCTCCCCAACCTATTCCAAATAAACGCCCTCCAATAACTCCCGCTCTACTAGTCTAATCAGCTATTACTGGAAGTCCCGCATGTCTAGTATGGACGCGTTGAACTTCCAGTGTCCAGCCATTCTAGACCTACTACCTAATACCATTCGTGCACAGGCGAGTTTATGATCCGAATTTTCTAAACGGTGGAACGTGGGACACTCTAGTAAATCTAGGTCGACCCTTCCCACTATGATTCTATCCAGGTAACTGGCTACCTGAAGAGACTGTCACTTATGAGCCCACGTCCACATCTCCCGCCCCGATATCTATCGACGAGTTCAAATTCGCCAATCAGATCAACCAAGATACGATCGCCCGATGCCTTCCCGCTAGCTCCCCGCATTCTGTCTATCTTGGTGTTCAAGATAGCATTTCAGTCCCCCCATTAAGACGCCATAATAGATAAACATTGAGGATTGTGTGATCCGCCTTTTGGAAACATTAGGAAGAGAAGAATGGTATCACAACCTTTACAATAAAAGCCATAATTACAATCGCTCAAATCACCTAGTCTTTTTTCAATAACACATCTAATAGCGTTTGAAGATTTCATGTTATAACAATATTTAAGTGTACTTCAGGGAGTTGTTGCCGTTCTTGCTCTCTAAATCAAGTTTACAATAATCAAATTTTTCTATGCTAAATGACAGCTTCATTTCTCCGTGCAACGCAATTTCAGATGCTCTGTCGTTTCTAATATATTAATGCTTATATTGGCTCAACTCATTTTTATAAGACACAAACCAGCAGTTGTCGGACTCATAATTAGGCTCAAATATATTAATTTTGATCACTAATGTTTCGGTGGACCTGGGTGTGTTGTTTATTTTTAAGTTCTTTTTTATTTTCATAAATGCTTTTCTTTAAATATCGGCATGTTGCACCACTGTATGTTGACAGTCATTGTTTATATTTTATTTGGCTAACTCTTCTGATGTATAATTAGCTCTCTATTTTAACTGAATTAAATTCCTGTTAGCTTTGGAAGTGTCTGTGATACTTATGTTATTAACTAAATTTATTTCAAGTTTAAGACATTGTAGTTAAAATAATGTTTAATAAATTCATATTTATAATTTGTTTTGTTCTATGGGTTTATTAAGCTTTTCTCTTAGCTTTGTATACGAAACAAATCGAATAAATCGGGATTAAACCTATTTTCAATGTATTTTTCTACTTTTTTTGATAGCTATTTTTTGAATGTCATGTCTCTGAAGGTGGTGGGTGATCATGTTTCTCCAGAAATCCGTTTCTCTATTAGAAAGACCAATTTACATGAGTATTTGACATATAGCTATAGGAAGAGATATAGATTTTACTTCCTTCTTATTGCCATTTGTTTTAAAGTAATCGCATAAAAATAGTTTGAAATTTAAAGACGTTTCGATGGAATTTCTTGACTATATTCGTTATATTACCAGTATTGCTTTGGTAGGTACCATGGTTGATGCATGCGAGTGTGATTATGTCTCTATTCAAGTCATGATTAACCTGGAAGAACAATTCCCGCAGTAGGATGTCATTATTTTCTGTAGTAGACTAAGTACCAATCAAGGCTATAGAGTCCAGTCTGTCCTGTTATTAAACCCAGAGATGGGAGAAATGAAATATATTCATTCTGAGCGGAAGTCAACACGAGTATGTTGTCTTTTCGATTTCTCATTCAGTCCCAATCAATGACCCCTGCCAGTCACATCCAAGCTTACAGTACTTAGATTTACCAATCCGTCTCTAATCTAGGACTGACCAAGTTCAATATTTAGTTTAACTTTAACTTTAGCTTTCGGATAAGGCTTCAACGAGATATAACTGTAAGTACATGTTAATGATATATCCTAAAGTATTAGTTTCATAATAGAGACTTCAATTTCATAATTTTGATCTGAAATACGCCGATTGTTTTAAGAGTATGCATAATTTATTTGTGAGCCTTGTCTGATTAAGACACAACTAAGCTAGTTTAATGTACCTCAAATTTGCTACTGAATTGGTATTGAATATTGTAAGATCTTAAAAAAAAACATAAATATCCGAGGGATATTGATTATAATCTAATGTTTTACTCAGTACAGTATATATATATATATATATATATATATATATATATATATATAAATAAAATAAGTGTATAGATGTTTAATATAAAACATGTTATTTAAGTATTGTCGATTTTGAATTTTGAAATAAAACAATTTTTCTAATGAAGCT